ATTCTTCCTTCCTTCCTTCCTTCCTTCCTTCCTTCCTTCCTTCCTTTCTTCCTTCCTTCCTTCCTTCCGTAGTGGTATAGGTAGTGCGTGTGATGGGAAAGGCCCTTCAGAGAGTGATGATTGTGCTTAACAATAAATTGCTTTTTCGAAAATATTTTGGAAAATTCGGGAATTTTTTCCATCTACCTTTCCTTTAGCCTCCTTTGCAGACGTTCTTAGGGTCGTCACGCAACGTGGGAAACGTTGACGTTCTTACGTTCGTGATGACCCTAAGAACGGCTGCAAAGGAGGCTACCTTTCCTTTGTCTTCTGTTCTTCGCTAGACCGAGTTTTAGCAGCGAAAATATCTTGGAAAGAGTAATATAATAATACTCATTTTCTCGATAATTCCTCTCCCACCCCCAGAAAATCACCTCATAGTTCTTTTGCTTCAAAAAATCCCAAAACTAAATCAAAGTCAGATAACCCAAATGTTTGATTGAAAGATTCATTAAATCTCCTCTGAAAGTCAGAAAGACCAGCGATAAGTTTGAAGAATATGTGAGAAAAACGGCCAAACCAAACTCATATCTCCAAATATAGCATCAGAACTCCTAATTGCAAATTTGTATTTACCAGATCATGGTTATATAATTTTAAACGTTTGCACTAGCAGGTCACGTGACCCTACATCCCTTAAAACGAGCAGCTGTGTCAAAATGAACATCAGGAATAAAAAGAGTACCTCGATATTAGTAGGGTGGCGGAGTTTTAGCTCATAACAAGCGAAACAGGAAAAATGGCATTTTTTWAATTTTTGCCATCCAGAATATTTCCCCATATAAATCCTTATAAATATTCGATTTTATATTTAATGCCATTTATCCTATAGTCAACATTATGAGCTGAAATTTCGCCCTCTTACTAATGTTGAGCTGCTCTTTTCATTTCTTAAGTTCGTTTTCACACACTGACTGCTCGTTTTAAGGGAAGTAGGGTCACGTGACCAGTTAGTGCAAGTCGTCTATTCCCTTAAAAGTTTCTGGTCGTTTTCGTCATAGAGTAAACTATTATTTATTATTATTTCTTGCGTATATACGATAAACGCCGACTCTCATCAGGAGAGGTTGGTTTCGTGATTAAGGGTGGTTGAGACAGTTCTATAAAAATCATTAATTTCATTATCTTGGCGCATCAATATTACATGAAATGTGCACTATCTATCTCTGAATATATTTTAAAATTATTTCCTAATTATCGCCTGTGTAGACGTTAATATAGGAGTATTTTGCTTCCAACCCGAAACCTTTATGAAATAAGCCTCCATTTTCGCGTATTTTTAAAAATAATAGTGCAAGTTTTAAGTGTTTTTGACCAGTGTGGTACGACGACATTGGATTCCCGGGTGATGTCTGAGTCCTACTAGCACGGTGTCCACGGTGCCCACGGTGCCCACGTTTTATTATTTGGCTTAAACATTGTAAGAAATCGATTTTTTTTGACAAGGTGTGGTACTATGACAGTGGCTTCTCAGGTGATGTCTGCGTCCTACTTGCACGGTGCCTAATGAGATGTGCTCAAAATAACCGAACAAAAACCATAGAAACATTTACAAATATTACTACTACTACTTTTATATTTGGCTTAAACATTGTAAGAAATCGATAGAAATTGACATTTATTGACAAGGTGTGCGTCCTGCTTGCACGGTGCCTAATGCTCATACATGGAAAAAGAACCGCACGTTTCGGAATGCTAGTGAGATGTGCTCATAATAACCGAACAAAAAGCACAGAAACATATACAAATGTATAAATGATATGTTTGTGTGTGTAAAATAAATGTTACTACTACTTTATTATTTGGCTTAAACATCGTAAGAAATCGATTAGATAATCTACTGATGCCATTTTTTTTATTGATATCATGGTAATAATTTTTTTTTTTCTTTTTAATTTAAGTTGTTTTCGTTTCATGTTAATCTGATTGCAAATCACCTTAATGCACCAATCAAAAGGGCACCGCATTTCTACCTCGTGATCACTATATAAAGAACCTAACGTCATGATTGGTCTTCAGTTGATCATTCAATACCTAGCAGTGCACACCCATCAGTCGTCACCAAAACAACGAATCTGCAGACTTTTGAAGGTAAAACTTTATTAAGCGTTAGAAAGAAAGAGGGTGATATTATGCCTACTGCTGGTGATTTTGCGAAATTGTAAAAACCCATTTAAAATTGTACAATCCAGTTTGAAACTTGGCCATGAAACGTGTAACACAGGTGCATGTCGTCACACGTTTCTTATTACTCTTTCTTGTGTTGAGAATTCAGTTTGTCGGGGAAAATGACTCAACAAAGTTGACGCAAACATTCAATGTAAAGTTCGCTCTATTTCCAAAATGACTGCATCCGGCTTTCTCTTTCAAAGAAATTGATAAGATGATGGCTTGTATGGCACTCCCCTTCTTCAGTCGTTTCATCTAAAGCTCATAATTTACCTATTACGCATGATCATTTCTACCTAGATCTATCTATATATGGAACTCTCTACCAATGCACTGTGAAATGAATGATGTAAGCCTTTCCAAATTTAAGGAACTTGTGACCACCCATTTTGCTTCCAAAATGGAACATTACTTACCATCTTAAAGTCTTTTCAATTTGAATTTTGATAAATTTTGATATGTTTTTCTTTTTATTGTTGTTTTTTTCCTCGTCAATTTTAATGGTAATCATGTTTGTACTGTATGTAAATTGTATGGAGAGGGAATATCAATAGTCCCCTTCACAGTTCCCTGCGCCATCTTGAAAGGTAGCCGTGCCTTTGCATCGAAGCGAGACGAACGGTGAGCTTGCAATGATCGGATAGAGACATGTGAATTGTCCAAGGTGTTAAAAAAGTTCTCTATCATTGCGAGCTCACCGTTCGTCTCGCTTCGACGCAAAGGCACGGCTACCTTTCAAGATGGCGCAGGGAACTGTGAAGGGGACTATTGGGGCGAAAGTTCTGTTCTTCGCCAGTCCTCAAGTTTTATAAAATGTGTATGTATACATAGTGACAAATAAACTAAACTAAATTAAGAGGACAGACCAATAAGCTGTAGTCACAGGCGTGCGCTCTTTCGGTTGGTTGATTTGATCACTAAAAAACGTCGAAAAATGCGTGTTAGTGAATTTTGTGGTAAAAACATGTATATGTATAGTCTATACTCTTAGTGAACATGGAATGGCGACAGCATATGATCCAAACTTTGCACTGAGTGGAACCACTCGCTACTCTCGTGGTTCCAATCTTTAGACAAGAGAATATTAACCATGACTTCATATTCTCTTGGTTTGGATCATACGATTACATATTTAGAGTACAATAGAATATATATAAAAGCTGAGACGGAAATGGTGGTTGGGTTTGCGTGTCCTCACTGTAATTAGTATCTAATAAGTATTGTTTATAAATGTAAATATCGACAAAATAAATAAGTAAATAATATTAACAAATCAATAAAAGAGGAAAAAGGGAAGTAAAGAATGTATTTCTTTTTTATTTATTTTTGCTTGCTTGCTTGATCTTATTATTATTATCATTATCATTTTATCATTATTATTATTATTATTATTATTATTTCATTTTATTTACGCTTTTAAACTTAAACTTGATTTAAACTTTTCAGTTCAACTATACAGAATGGCTGGAAAGATCGCGATTATTTTGGTTATCTTTCTCGCGTTTGCTCACCATTTGGCGTATGGTAAATCCCATTTTGAAAAGGTACACTCTACTTGATACTCTAGGCAACTATCATGTATGGAAGTTAACGTTTTTCAGACGGAAGGGCCTAATAGGCTACTTGCATTATGAGGTCACGTGATCAAATCGGCCATTGTGGCTGGCATTCTACAGGATTTTAGCGATGCGAGAATGTAAAAAAAGATTTTTTAGCCGATAAAAGGTAAGTTAGCGCACTAAATAACGATAAAAATCCCCTTTTCTTGCAAGAAATATATTCTTAATAGATATCTAAAGTAGATTTTTGCTAATAGCTCGCCAAGAAGAAAAAAATATGGTATTTTTTGCGCTACGATGTGAAGACCTACGAAGTGTTTAGTCTTGTTTTGCCGACTTCATGACCTCAAAACAACGACTTCTTGTCGAAACTTCATCCTTGTAAAACGCATTTTTCTTGCAAGAAATATTCTTTTAATTGATACCTTAAGTAGATTTTTGCTATTCATTCGCCAGGAAAAGGAAAAATATGGTATGTTTTGAGGTCATGCAGCCGCCGAAACAAGGCTAAACACTTCGTAGGTCTTCACATCATAGCGCAAAAAATACTATATTTTTTCTCTTCTTGGCAAGTTAATAGCAAAAACCTACTTTAGATATCTATTAAGAATATATTTCTTGCAAGAAAAGGGGATTTTTATCGTTATTTAGTGCGCTTACTTACCTTTTATCGCAAAAAACTACCCGAATTCGCCATCTTTTTTCACATTCTCGCATGGCTAAAATCCTGTAGAATGCCAGCCACAATGGCCGATTTGATCACGTGACCTCTTAGTGCAAGTCGCCTATTAAACTTCATAAAAAAACTTTAGTTTAAACTTCTATCTATCTTTATAACCATGCTCCGCCAATCAGCACTAGTATTCAGTTATGCAAATTATCCACTCCTGCTCATTTATTAAACTATACATAATGATGGACATATCAGTTTCTCTCTCTTTTCCTTAGAGAGGGGGAACATGTAGACGAATAACGAAGTGTTGTGGCACTGAGAGTAAGTATAAGTCAAAACTCCGCACCAAATAACCTTAACTTTTATCAAATGCTGAAACGACCTCTTGGCTGATCTAAGTCAGGGCACCGCTAACTCACAGATCGAATCCTGACAAACTCTGGGCTCATCCAAGCTGGTCACTAGTCACCAGGAAATGACTAACTTACATCGATCTATTACACGTACATCCATACTCTGAGTCATAACCAAGCGAAGTGAAATAGTGCCCTTGAAGCTCGCCCTTGGAGCTTCGTTTCTCGGCCAGTTGGTATTTTTTCGGACCATTTTGCTGAACCCTGCTGAACCCTGCTGAACCCTGCTGAACCCTGCTGAACCCTGCTGAACCCTGCTGAACCCTGCTGAACCCTGCTGAACCCTGCTGAACCACGATGAACCACGATGAACCACGATGAACCACGATGAACCACGATGAACCANTGAACCACGATGAACCACGATGAACCACGATGAACCACGATGAACCACGATGAACCATGATGAACCACGATGCTGATGATCCATGCTCGTGAACCATGCTGAACCATGCTGAACCATGCTGATGATCCATGCACGTGAACCATGCTGAACCATGAGCCGGATATCCAGATCTTAGCACCAAAAAAAAAATCTCGAGGATACCATTGTAATGCATAAGTTTCTTTTTCAGAGGAAGTTTGCCAAAACGGTGTTTTTTCTAAGTGGTGCTGCCCATTAAACTGGTATTTGGACTGTGGATTCTTGGGTAACTATAGACAATTATTGTATCTGTTGCTATTAAATCACATCATAACACATCACATCACACCACACCACATCACACCACACCACACCACACCACACCACACCACACCACACCACACCACACCACCATAATCGTTTATTCGGCGGTGTTTTTAAAAAATTATTTCTTCAAACATTCTTAACGAATTTATCAATTTGCTTTTCTTATTTATCTATCTTTCACGTTGCCTGTGCCACCCCAGTCTAAAAATACGTTTTCCTCCTTTCCTCAAATAGGTATGGGAACTTGTTATTGCAAATACTTAAATGGTAAAAAGGAACATGGCTCAAAACCGAACTGTTAAACAGTTCAATGCCGGATCCGGAACAGAAAAGTAAAAGAAATTGCAATAAATTTTGTTGCAAAATGTGAACGCGTTTTTTACTGTTTATTGTGTCAATTAGCCCTTATTCCAAATTTGTCAACATATTTTGGTAATGATCGCGAGGCTGKGATGCAAGGTCATGTAACAGACACTCGGATTCAAAAGCATGCACACGCCGCCAACAATAAACAACACAAAGAAACCAAACAGCAATTTTATCAAATTCTGCAACACCCTCTTGGCTGGTCAAAGTAAGGGTACGGCTAACTCACACTCAGATAGAACTCTGAAACAACCTCTTGGCTGATCTAAGTCAGAGCTCGGCTAACTCACAGATAGAACTCTGAAACAACCTCTTGGCTGGTGAAAGTCAGGGTACGGCTAACCTCACAGATCGAACCCTGAAACAACCTCTTGGCTGATCAAAGTCTGGGTATTGATAACTCACAGATCAAACCCTGAATCAACCTCTGGGCTGGTCAAAGTCCCCCCCCCCATGTTTGTTCCACTAAACCCCCCCCCGACTTAAATAATGACTGGTCCCTAAAACGTCTTCCCGTCGTCCAGTCCCCTTCATTGATTGTTTTTCTATTGAACAAAAAAAAAAGACGTCTTGAATTTATACCGGAAGTAAGAATAAGTGTAGCATGCGCATATCTGACGAATCTGGGTCTTCCGGTTTGTGTGTTACCAGAGTATTCGATTTTTTGGYGAGAAGGGACTGGGTACGGGAATAGGTAGTGAGGCTTGTGGTTCTCCTTACCCTCCCCTCCCCTCATTAAACTGTTACCAGCCCTGGAGACTCATTGGAGACCAGATAAGCAGTGGAGTAACAAACCGGGGTACCAATCTCTAATTTCCGGAGGGTATTCCCATGTAAAATCTTTTTTACTTATCCCTAAACGATATCACTGGCGATACCACTTTAAAATTAAAAAACCAAACAAACAGAAAAACAAAAACAAACAAGATAAATCATTTAAAATAAAAATCAATGCGTATATTGTAATACACAATGAAAGTATTAAACTGATAAATGATATTTGGTTTAATGTTTGGCAATATATGGGAGTGAACAACCCACCAATCTCCACCCCCCCCCCTCCCTCATTAGGCAGCATAGTCCTCAATAACTGAGAAATCATTGAATAATATAGAACTACGGGAAAGTCAAGATTAAAAGACAATATCTATTATTCTTTTGTTTGAATAAGATAAGTGATACTGAGTTTTGGCGGTGTTTTTATACTTCTTAGATCTTAGTCGGTGTAGAGTACAAACATTAAAAGTGTGCAACACTTTGCACTATTTAGTACTTAATTATACAGCTTCTCATTAATCCAATATAGGTAACTGTCCAATTATTTTCTTAATTGGACAGGTCTTGTTGATATGGGATTAATTAGGCAGCTATATAATTAATAGGTAATGGGATTTCATGCTTCCCAATCAAGAAATAATTAGACTCGAAAAATTCCTCTGACTGCCAAATTGGACTCGGCCTACGGCCTCATCCAATTTTGTCATTCCTCGGAATTTTCCTCGTCCAATTATTTCTTAATTGGACAGCATGGAGTCCTATTACATATACAAATCAGTAGTGCTAATTAAACAACAGAAAACAATAGGATTAGCAAAATTTAGCAGTATTTAGTGGTATTTATGTTACACACTTATAGTGTTTGTACTCTAGCATGGTGACTAAGTATATTTAAAAACGAGTGTTGGTTTGCTAGTAACAAGTTGGGTAAATAAACATTCGAAAGTTGCATTACTTGTCCTTTGCAAAATATTTTATGGGAATGTATTTACTGCTTGTTCTGAAGGTGGTTCAAAGTTTATTTTAATTAATAAACTTTTGGTCAGTTTAAAAACTTACCACGTCATTCGTTTACGTCATACTTCCCGCGTCTAGGTCGTCTCTAAGCAGGAATTACTGAACCTTGTTGGAAGACCATGGAAGGTCATGGAACAAGCTATCTATATATTTATATTCAATCTGAGCACGTACACATGCAATAGGAAACGATCATATTTACCGAAGTTTGAATTATAGTGAACGTGACATTTTTCTCTACCACATGGTTTTTAGACCCCTATTCTTACGTCGCCATTGCTAGCTCAAAACAACAACGAAAAGTAGACTAAAATACCTGTGCATGTTCAAAGTTATCAAAGTTGTTTACGTCATTTTTTGTAAACGCAGATTTACGTCACAGTATTAGTTAATTTATAGAAGCAAGAATATCACTGACAACCACTTAAGAAATCTTAAAACTTAATTTTACTATTTATTTATCTACCAATTTATTACGTTTATTAATAACAAAAAGTAAATGAATACTTGCACTCATTCCGTAATGGATTAATAGGTGACAACCTGTTTTATATTAAAATACCTATGCCTGTTCAAAGAATGTAGTTAAGTCACGGAATGGCTATCGTGCTGTGCCGTGCGTAAGCCTCGAGGAATGCGGAATATTATGGCCTTTGAATCCACTGCGATATTTTACAGTCTCGGCTAAAGGCATGACTGATTAAAATCGTCGACGTTCATCTGTACCTGTGTCAACAACAAGCTATTTTTATACAAACTAGCTAATTATAGTGTGGGTAAGGTCTAAATGTTTTTTCTTCGAAAAGACCGGTACCTGCATCCATATGAGCAAGCACTAATAAGCTGAACTAAAGTTTATAATCAGTATCATCATCAACAGTACCACCATACCATAGCATCAAAATATGTTATCGTAGTGATAATAAATCAATATACACTGTATGATTATCATAAACAACAACCGGACAAAACATCATCATCATCAACGACAACAACATCATCATCATCATCATTATCCACTCAATTCACTATCTTCAAAATAGAGCTGTTAAGTATGATGTAATTCGAACGAAAACCGACTTCTGGGTCCAAGGTAATAAATACTTTACAGACATTTCTCTGATTTTTTTCTTCATATCAGGATTTTCTGTTCATATATATAATTGTTTAAAGGCAGAGAATAAATCCTGGGAATAGTTCGTGGCAAGATTTCTTAAAAGCCCTGTTGTCGTTCTCGTAAAGTGGTGCATGAAAAGCTGAATATATGTCCGAACGAGCGGGCATTTGACTTTTGAATAAATATAGCGGTGTGACAGGGATTTGTGTTCCCCCGAGTTATGTGTTCCCCCGAACACTGGGCATTAGTGTTTTGTGTCCCCCCTCGCCTCCCTTTGAAACATCTTTTGACACGATTCTCTCCCCCAGGTCACACATAACTCGGGGGAACACAAATCCCTGCTGTGACACCGCTATATTTAGATCCCTGTGACAGCGGTTTCGATCAAAATACAATCTTTAATACTTGTCGCTTTTTGAAAAACGGGGAAAGAAAAGCTTGGAATTAAAAAGAAAAGGAAGCAAAACTTTTCAATGTGGATGACAGTACAGAACGAGTAGATGAAGATAAGTTTTTGGAGTCCAAAACAATAAATATGTTTACACTAATTCCAAAGTCGGCAAAGATTTCAAGTCTCGATTCTTAAAATTAAAGCTATAAATGATAAAACGATCTCAAAAGGTACTTAGCATGAAACTTGTTGGATGTATACAGGCTCAGTTTTGTACTTTTTAGGTAAAATTAGAGATTCATCGGACTGGCGACACTGAAAGCGGCTGTGGGGGAGACTAGCAAACAAAATGAGTAAAAATGCCACTTACTGGAGCCTGAACGGTGGGGCATTTGATCATTTTGTTTGCTAGTCTCCCCCACAGCCGCTTTCAGTGTCGTCACGCAACACTTTCTCCCCTGAGCAGGGGAGAAAGCGTTGCGTGACGACACTGAAAGCGGCAATGGGGGGGAGACTATTTGTT